TCAATTAAAGTTTTTGGAAAGAGGTGTTTTAGCTCTTTTGTTTTCAGGAAAGCCTTTGTTGGAAGAGTCTGGACTCAGAGTCCTCTCGCACTTACAGGAGACACATCTGCGAATGACCAAAAAATAGATAATAAGAGAACAGAGGTTATTTTAAGGGACTAAAAGGTTCCATTATTCTAATACCACACAGGGAGGTATATATTATGCCTCTCAGTAGGTGTTTCATCACAAATGAGTGGAGTATATTTCAATATTTCTTGTTTCAATTTATAGCCCTGTTGGAAGAAATATTGAATATTTCACATTAATAAGGAACTCGGGGCAAAAGGAGACTATCTGAAAGGTGAAGTGGTTGGTGAAGAGTTATCCTTGCCTGCTCTGTGTCTGTTTTAAGGGGTATTTATTCAGCACTAGTTTTACTCTCTTCCTGTGGACTGCATGCCCTTTAGAAGTTGGAAAACAGACTCTGTTCCTGAAGAATCAGCTTAGTTTCATCCATAAGTAAAACAGCTCACACTCTCAAAGGCTGACCCAATTTGCAATCCAAAATGTGGTAAGTGGGGGCAATCGGGAGAATCATTTTAGAACCACGCTCCTAATCTGAACTAAAACATGAATGTGCTGATCAGCTTGGTGATTCATTTTGGTGTTTCCAAATGTCACACTGTGTATAGCTGTGTTATTCCAAGCCTGTAGTCTGGACTTGTTACATTTTAGCAACAAAAATAATTCACAAAGAGATTGTGTCAAAAAGTGCATCTGTGATTATATATGACAGCAGAGAATCCAAAAGAGAAAACAAAGAAGTGAAATATCACTCTTGTATTTCTTCTTTCCCACCCTCAGAAGCACAGACTGTTTTCCATAAATCAGGAAGCCAGTACCTACGCTACTTCATAACTGCATTGTTTCTAACAGTTAAAGGAGTCTTTTGTTAGGAATGTGGGAGCAGCTCATGGCTACTTTGAATCCTTTCCATCTTTTATCTACACAAAGAAAAATTAATTCACTTAGTTATTATAGGGTATAATTAGAACAGTTGTCAGTGGCAGAGCTGGGTTAAGAAAAGACTATCCAAAGCAGCCAAGAAAGGGAATAAATGCTGAACGGCATTTATTTTTTAACAGTTTTTTTAACTGAGACAATAATTTACAGTTTTAACTGAGACTGAATAATCTCCTCTGATTCAAGCAGAAAATAATCCAGATACATTGTCTCATTTTCTTGCTACAACTGAAAGCAAGCCAATTCAGTCCTGAATATTAAGGATTTTCTTTTTCTCACTAAAACTGCTCACCTGCTTTATGCCCCATTGTCCCCCACTGCTTACAGAATCACAGCGTCATGGAACAGTTGGGATAGGAAGGGACCTCTGAAAGTTGTCCTGTCCAAACCTCTGCTGAAGCAGGGCCACATACAACCAGTTGTCCTGGACTTACTTCTGCTATTTAACATATAAACACATAGGCTAAGCACAGAAGGGTGGAAGCAAGGCAGAATTATGGTCTTTTCTTGTGATTGAAACACCAGCATAGCAGAAATTTAGAATTTTAGATTCAAAAGCTTTTCTTTTGTCTGTTTAAGAAATTGTCCAATACTTCACATTGATCTCAATAGGCTGAGTTTTTCTATTGATTTTTTTGGCAATGTGTTGGTATACTGCTCTTTCTGACAAAACTGTTCAAAATACCTGCATGCATATTTGTTTTTTTTTCATTTAAAATCTCAATTTGAAAATGTTTCATAGAGTTTAAATTGGTCTACAAATGGGTGATCTCCTTTCTGCCATACCAGCCATCACTGATCAGTGTCTTAGGTTAGCCTAAAGACATTAGACCACAGGAAGGAAGTATTTCATATCTTGCTGAATAAAACATTCTTTGTTAAAACAAATTGCCAAAAAAATCAATAGAAAAACTCAGCTGTGAATGTGAAGAGAGAGGCTGACAGAACATGCTATATGAAGAGATTGCCATATGATGGATGGTTTAAAACTACAAAGAATAAGATTGCAAGGAATATAATTATGTTTGGTTGTCTTGCTTATTATTAAAAACAAGACTTCACCTGACAACCAACATAGAACTAGTAAAAGTACAATTCTAATCTAAAAGTGTAGCTGTCATTCCATGTAATAAAATAAGGCATTGTTCTTACTCTAAGGTAAATGTAAAATGTAAAAATCACCCTTAAACTCATTTAAAAATCAATAGGACTCTTATCAAGTAAAATCCAAAGGCTTCCAAACAACACTAAGATGCCATTTGAAAAAATTGTTTATGGTCATTATGTTTTTCCTTTTTTTTTTTTTTTTTTTTTTTTTTTTTTTTTTTTTTTTTTTTTTTTTTTTTTTTTTTTTTTTTTGACTTTTAATGTTTGATCAAATGTGATTCCCTTTCTCTCCTTTAGTTTACTGCCTAGTAGAAGTGCAAGGTTCTGGCGATTGGCTAATTAAGGATGAATAAAATACACACTATAAAAATTTACTCATACAATACCAGGGTAATGAAAGATCACACACCACAGTGGGTGAGCTACTACCTTATTAGAAAAAGCATTTACCAAACCCGACATAAACAGATTTTGCAACAAAATGAAACATAAAGCCAATAAAAGGGTAGTGAACTCTCTACAGAAGCGAGATCTGCTGAGTTAGAAAGTGATTTTGACCAGTCTCTAACTTCAAACTCTATGTCCTTGCTTCTAAACACATTTGAACAAGCTTTTAGCATTCGACTATGTAGATTCTAAGATATCTCCTTAAGGTCTCATTGCTAAAGAGAACATCCAATGGCCAATTTGGTTATGCCTCAGCTATTTTGAGGATGTGTCCCTCCGTAATGAGGGAGACTGATTACATTTTGGCATAAACACACTTGGTAAGTACGACTTCATGTTTCTCAATACTATTGCAATGGTGTGACAATTAAAAGAGGTCTAAGAACTTTAAAGTTGACAAGACCCTATTTCAGAAAAGGAAAAATGTTGAAGCTCACTGTTATATGATGTGACACAGCACATTTCACAGAACAGCGAAATCAGCTGTTTTGTGCCTACTTGTTCTATAACCTTTTTTTTTTTTTTTTTTGAAGTAACTATAGCTTGAAACTTAGCCATATGGATGTCTGCATCATCCTGCAGAAGTAACATCTGACTGTGTATAAACATTGTTATGACAGGTTTCAACACTACCCTTTTTCAGTTACTCTACTGTTGCTTGACTAGAGGCAGTCTGAACATCTGTATTATAGAAGTTTATCCTATGGATAAATCATGTGACTTTCAATTACTGGACAAAAAAAGTTCTATAACTTGTGGTGGAAGAGCATAAGGAAGGTCAGAGAAAGTGCTGAGAGGGTTAGAAAGCAAAGCAGGACAGTTTATTAAGATTAACAGCTGCAGACTCGATGTTGCTAATTCACCTAAAACATGGTTGAATCCTTTTGTGAAGTCTTATATCTTCTGTATTCCTTATTATAAGTAGCTTACTGCAGAACCCTGCAGCAAAATCCTGTTCTCTTCTCACACAGCAGGAATTTGAAGTGCTCAGTCAGGCTGGCTGGGCTGAGGGCTGGCTGGCTGGTCGAATGAATAAATTCTGGTAGCCAAGATCACCTCAGACTTACCCTACCATGCATGCTGCTACCGCTGGCTGTCTGCATTCTATGCATCAACAGAAGATACAGTCTTGATTTCAGACTATGGGGCAGACAATACACAAGCTGAAAAAAACCAGAGGTTCTTTATTAAATTAAGGCGGTTTACTGGGAAAACCACTCAATAAATAAAAAAATAGTTAAATAAATAAATAAATGTCCAGGCTTTCTCATCATTCATCTTCCAGAGCAGCCACTGCTTCTCTGTGCTGTTCCAAAGGCAATAAGGGTACTCGCCCCATTAAGAGGTGCCCTAAAGACAACGTGCCTCCCGGCTACGGTGTCACTGCCCCCCAGCCCGGGATCTGCCTTCGGGCTAGGGGACAAGACCCGCGCCGGCCCCAGCGGTCAGCCCAGCCCCGCGGGTGCGGCCGCCCGCTCTGTGCCCGGCCGCGGGGCCCCGGCACACGGCCATCGGCGCCGTCCGACCTGCGCTCATCTCCCCTGTGCCTTTCCGCACCCGCGCAAAGGAGAACTCCGGACTGTATTTCATTTTTATCTAATCTACAGCCTCATCCCCGACACCCCCACACCACTCCCTCCTCCTCTCCCCGCCCCGGCTGCGCTTCCAGACACACTTTTCTTGTGTCAAACGGCATGAGCATCAGGTTGCGGGCAAGGAGGAGTGGGGTCGGCCCCGCCTCCGAGGCACTGCTGCGGCGTGGGGTGCCCGGGCTGGCGATATCCCGGGTCCCTTGGTTCTGCCCCCATCCCCGCTGGGTTCGGCGGCTTACCCGCGCCTGGCCGCAGCAACGGTGGTGCAGAGAGCCCGGGGGATCCTATCCGACTCCCCTCTCACTTCTGTAGCACAAATTTTCCCTTCTCCTCTGCCCTCCCCGCCGCCTAAGCGGTTCGCTTTGCCCTTGCCCATTCTTGCCGCCCTCTCCTCGGCCGGGCCAAGAGTGCCGGGGCCGCGGCGCTGAGGGAGTCAGATGCCGCTGCCGCGGCTCTGCAGGGCCAGCTCCCGGGGCCAAAGGGGGGGACACAGCCCTCTCTGTTCATCCACTCCTCCTCCCCCCTTTTCCGTTGAGACCATTTCAACTTCTCTCAGTACTCTTACTACATTTTCCGTACTCTATTCCCTTTCCTTCCCGCCCTGACCACTAGCCCTCCGCAGTCTCGTCAAGCGGATGGGTGTTTGGGCTGGGACGTAGCTGGAGAGGATAAACCTCTAGAGGTCTACAGACGGGAGGAGGGCGGGAGAGAAAGAGATTTTGCAGTCGTTTCTGGGCTGATTGGAAGAGGCAGTCGTTATATGTGTGGCCGGAGGATTAGCAGATAAACTTTTATTGCTCCCTTTTGTGCGTGTGTGTGTGAGCGTGTCTGTATGCCTGCGTGGCTGTGGGTATGTAGATAAAGAAGTCGCCTCACAAGGGGGAAAATCTTTTCAATTTCCCTTTAGCAGGTGCAGGTCAAGGAGGAACTCATGAGCATTCTGTCTGATCCACGAACTGATTAGGGGAGGGGAAACGATCCCTCTCCTCTTACTCTTCCTTTCCCAGTTTTGAAATCATTCCTTCGCCACCACTGCCGCCCTCCCACCCATCCCCTCCCCTTCCCCTGCACTGAATGAATGGAAGAGTCTCTAGGGCTTTCTTCTGCTTCTCGCCCTGGACTGAAGAAGTGAGGGGGCATCTATCTATCCTCATCCATCCCTTTCTCGCTTCATCCATTCCCGAGGGGATTTCAGACCGTGCAATGTGTTTCCAGCCTCTTGCCACTGCTACCACTTGATACTATGCGACGCGCAGGGAGAGGGTTTTGCAAAAATGGATTTATTCTATTTTAAAGGATTTCTTCTCTAATAAGGATCTAATTGCACACAAATATGACTAAATCCCCTATTTGGTAAATCTTTCTCTACCCCACCCCTCCTCTTTGGGTTCCCTCCCGCCCGCGCCCCCACCCCTTCAGAGGAGCAAGCACAGGGAGCTGATGACGGACCCATTAATCCCTTCTTCAATGCATCAAAAGAAGCCGAAGGGCTGGAAGTCGCTGGGCTCGGAGTCCTGCAGGAAATGCTTCGATCTGCTTTTGGTTCTGTATGAAACTGGTGACTAGGGGCTCGGCTCGCTCCGCCGCCGCCGCCCGCCGGCACCTGGATGCGCGGGCCGCCGCCGCCGCCGCCGCCGCCTTGCCCGCCGCCGCGATGCAACGCTCCTGGCGGTGCTGGTGATCGCTCGGGTGTGATGGGATTGAGCCGGCGGTGATCATTTGAAGACGGTGAGGGAGAGCGAGGGAGAGGAAGGGCTGCTCCGCTGTGCTGTGCGTGTGGGGGCTTCGGGATTTTTCTTTTTCTTCTTCTTTTCCTACTTCCATCCTCTCCCCGCCACTGGAAGTCCTCCCGTATCTAAATGGAATTAGTGGAGACCGAAGCCCCTTGTGTAAGGAACAGACATGACCCATGGGCGCAGCTTCCTTCACAGTGAGTATCTGTCTCCCCCTTCCCAGCCCACCACCCCCGGCCGAGCTCCCCCGCCGCGCACGGGCTCCTGCCCTCCGCTGCCCCCACAACTGGCGTGACGGGACGCCCAGACTTCCGCGGCGCGGGGGAGAACTCTCCCCAAGCACACGCAGTGCTCTGTACCCCCCCGGCGCTGCGGTGCCCCGGGAGGGAGCCCGTGTCTGCCAGCGTCGTGGGGCGGCGGGACACCCTCCCGAGGGCTGGAGGGTTTCACCTGGGCGCGACGCATCTGGTGGCTTTTGGCATGCCGGGGTGGAGGGGGGGCACGGCTGTGCGGCCTTAGCCGTGGCTCGGCCCGGCCGTGCGGGCGCGGGGCAGCGCAGAGAGCGGGTGGCCACAGCGGGCACGCATCCCGCAGGTCTGCGGGGCGGGGGCGGCCCCACGGCCCGAAATCCTCCAGGAGTAGCAGAAATGAATCACCTACTCGTCGAACACCCCCAGGGGCCTCAGGTTGCGCGGGTGGGATCCCATCTCCCGCCTCTGTTTTGCGGAGGCTCCACTGCACTGAAGGGGCTTGACTGGGCACGGTGCCTTCCAGCACTTCCCCCTGCGCCCACACCTGTACAATAGCGCTATGGCCAGGTATTGCTCGTCCAGCAACTCTTCGCTAGGCTAAGCCACGTCTGTGTGCCAAATCACAGCCTCCTAAAAGCCTAGCCAAGAGATAAATCTCTTAATGTACAGCTTGTAATGAAAAAAAAATACACAGGTCCAAAAAGATGGAAAGATGCGTAATCAGAATGGCACTAGAAAGCATGATTATAATTACACCCATGATTAGGAGGGAAAGGAGGAGGAGGAAGACAGTGAGAATGGAACAAGAATTTTGGTGGAAACTTATTTAAAATAATTCCCAAACCGAGATAATCAAAATATTGTTGCCATGCTGCCAACGCTTCCCAAGTGACAGTTTTCAATGAGTGAAGATTGCGTGGTTGGTCTCTTTGGGGTCTTTTTTTTTTTTTTTTCCCCTTTGTGAAAAACACTGTTCTTTTCCTGTGGCTTGAGGAAGAAAAAGGCAAGGGATCATAAAATAAAATGGTCTGCCTTGTCTGCTTGATTAAAATATATAGTGCTGTCTTGTCCCATGAAGCCCATAATTTTAATTGCTTTCTGACAATATACATATTTTGGTGCCTTTGGTGTTAATAACAATAAATCAAGAGGTTTGTGTTGGGGGGTTTTGTGGGGTTTTTTTGTATTTTTTTTTGGTTTTTTTTTTTTTAGGGTTTTTTTTTTTGGGGGGTGAGGTTTTTTATATGGGAGAAGTATTTCTCTTTATCTATCAAAATGTTAGATGTGGTAAGTACAGGGAAAAAAAACCCACAGGAAACTTAATCTCTTAGTCTCTTCTTGTGTATGAGATTTTATTATCAAGATTGACTCCTTATTAATAATCAATACTGACATAATGACATGTAAGTATAGCTTTGTGCTTTGGAAAAACATAGCTCTGTGATTTGGAAAAATCCTTTCTAGTGGTTACAGCTGAAACTGAAAAGATCTCTGTTTCTTTCTGTCATCTTGGTATTAACGTATCTGTGACTTGGACCAACCCTTCACTCTTCTGAACTCCAATTTTTTCCATATAGAAAAGGAGGGGAGAGTGATTAGATAAAGATGCTTGAAATGAACCTATAAGAATCAGACATGAATTGTTATCAGTTGTGTAAAAAGAAACATTTCTCACATGGAGTTTGTTTGGCTGTTGTGCATCCTATTCTAGCTTCTATAAATTGGTGGGCAGAAGGAACACCAGCAGCTGGTTCCGTATTCTACACACCAATCCACCTTACACTATTGAGAAATTAGGCTTTGGCTGTTGAAGATTACAGGCATAGATACAGTATGTTCACTGTGTGAAACACAGCTAAAGTAAATCAGCAACTTAGTAAATGGGTGATTCCTGCATTGCCTTCAGATTCTGACACAGCCAGCAGGCAGAGTCCCAGCTAGCATATATTTCCAGAATTCATCCCTGAGGAGAGTAACGGTATGAATGGCTGGGTAGCATTCAGATCTGAGCAGAAGATGTAGTGTTCTCACTGAATGCCCACGACACAGAAGAGTTTTTAACTACCAGCACTGCCAACATCCGTCTCTAGGGGCTGTTAGCCTGACTAAGAAATAGTGAATATGCTGCCAAGCCTTCATTTCCCCCGAATTTCAGCCTTTCCCTGCTTAATAAGGCAGCCATCATCTATGTAACCCTCTGCCACATGGGAAGGGTCAAAGACATAGAAATAGATACCTCGATGCCATCAGAATACTGCAAATATGGAGACAACATTCCTTCAGGGTGAAAATTACACACAATTTGCAGTATAAAAGATGAAAATGATGAAAGCACCTTCTTTGAAATGATCATAGTTACCATCCCATGGTGGCCTTTGGTGTTTCTTGGGGACAGTAATAAGAAAGTATGCCATTGAATTACATTTGTTAAAGACTCATCATAGTCAACAACACAAATGGCAGCTGATTGATCTGTAATGCTCAGAATAAACATGGAACTTAATCTCCGCCTTTACTTCAGTGCAGCCTGGGCACTATGTTTGGGCTTAATGCCAAACTAGCAGGGGTAAAGCACCAAGCACTCCAAGAACTGATGGATCTGTTCTCTTCTGCTGTCCCACTTTCTCTGATAGCCAGAAGAAATGAGTGATGACAAGAAGATCAGTTCATGATTTCTTTATCAGGTAGCTAACTAGTCACTTCGATCTTCCAAATCAGTACCATTATGACTGGCCTAAGTGTTTGCTTCTTAGCCTTTTCCAGTTTAAATGTTATATTTGGAAACTATTCCCAGGAACTCAGTAATTATATCCAAGTCGAAGTCCATCTCAGAAAGGTCACATTTGTTCTCAAGAGGAATAGTTGTCCTATCGTGGTTGGAGATAGGAGATTTCTGTTTGTAAAATGGGCTGCAGATTCACTGCAGCCCAAAGCAACATCCCATTGACAAGTCAAACAAACTAGATTAATGAGACTGTTAAGCATACACAATAATTTACTTCACTAGGGATTTGCAAATGCTTTGATGGATGTGAAGAACCCAACCCCTCACTTCTTTTGTACTCCCAGTACTCATTTTCAAATTTTATTATGCTGTAGTGAGAGACATTAGTGAGTACGGTGGCACTGAAACTTAACAGGCCTTTGTCTCCCTCTGTTAAAAGCAGACACTTTTCTATTACTGACACATACTGTGATTATATAAATATTTGTAAAAATGTTTTTGTTTAATATTAAAGGAAAAGAAAAAAATGGAATGGATTTTGTTTTAAACCCAAAAGATCTTCTCTTTATTTGGATACATTTGCAAAGAAAAATATTTACAAGAACAGGCTACAAAGAAACTTGTTTAACAAAATGTTCAATTTAAAGATGCTAGTAAACATGAAATTTTTTTTTTACAGTAATTCTATTTAATTTGTATTCTTGTGAGATAGATGGGTACAATTTGATTTCAGACACAATCACACTGTGATATTTAATTCATATTTCTCTTTCAGTTGTAGCAAGTCTAATCATCCTACATTTGTCTGGGGCAACGAAAAAAGGAACAGGTATGTAAACTTCAGACTTTTTTTTCTGACAGTATATTAGAGACCAAAGTATGGATTTGAGTTATTAGTTTAGGGTTTGGAATTTTTAGTAGTTTGTTTACTTTCAGTGTCTGTGCTTTGTCTATGTATTCGCATGCTCGGACACACACAAAAAAATCCAGCAGTACTGGCGGACTCCATTGTAACTAAAGACTAAAAGTACTCCCTAACTAAAGACTGTAAGGTACTCCCACTTTCAAACTGGGAAGCCTAGTTTGGGCACGGAGCTACATACACTTAAAATATTTTTGCTTGTTGAAGTATAATTAAAAATCTGAGCTTGGGTATTGTGGGTGCATTTGTGCAGGGTGGGTAGAGAAAGCTGTTCTTAAAAGCCTTGGATGCTCAGTGTGATGAAGCCCAAGCAGGGTAATGCTGCTAAGCCCATTGTGTGTCTGAACCTGTGTCTGAATGCACAGTCCCTGCAGGCCTGAATTCAATTCAGGAAATTAGGCTCCGTGTCATACTCTGCCTGGATAAAGACCAGGAAGAAAAAGAAATTCTTGCAGACTATGAGTCAAAACTCAGGTGGTTAAAATCATCCTTGGAAGGTGCCTGTTTCCCTCCACTGATTGTAAGAGGCAACCTCAAACACCTGACTCTACATATCAGGGGCTTAATTTAGATGGGACACCTTTGGTCTTAGATATCTCCTTTGAAGCAAAACCAATCTAGAACCTACTATCTTTCCTTTTAATAGCAACCTAGGCATATTTACCTCTGAAGAATCTATCTCATTTTAGCCTACTTGTTAAAACATGGTGCCTAGGAAGGGTTCCTGCAACTTCTTCAGCTTGAACAGATCCAAACCTTTGTCTCTGGCCTCTCTGCCAGTGTGCAGAAAGGAGCGCAAGTGATTCGGGGCTAGGAAGAAAGCAAACAAGTAGGTCTGACTCTGCTCTCTGATGACTCACCTAGGAGGAGGAAAGTTCTTCGATATGATTCCTGGCCTCAGAGCTATTTATTAATTTTACAGCAAACAGCAAAAATCTATAAAATCTATGAACCAGATTTCAGGAATTCCCCTGTCTATTCTGTCTACTGAATATAGAATAAAGATGCTGCAGATTTAAAACAACTTGTATACACTATCTTAATTCTCTATTTTTTTTCCTTGATTTTATGATTCTAATATATTCCTATATTATGACATGAAGCTTACTGATAGAGAACATGCTTGAGCTTTTTGAAATATATGAGTGGAAAACTCATGTCTTCCATTTCTTGAGCACATGCTTTCCCTACAGGTTATTATTTTAAAAAACCCACACATATGTCTCCCCCAAGATATCTAAGCCTCTCCTCTGCTTTGAAAAAAATTGTTTTGAGTAAGAATTATATATTTGTACTCCTAAGGAACTACATTGTTTTCCCCCGGGTCCATGATCATACCCAGTCTCAATGGGAGAATAGCTTGAGGCCGCTGACAGAAGGGACTGTTTTATTTATCCTGTAAGAGACTTCTAAGTGTCACATAGACACAATAATCTGTGAGCTAATTGCATAATGCTTAATGTCATCATTTCACAGAAAAGCAAACTACTTCCGAAGGACAGAAACCAGTGCAGTGTGGAACTTGGACCAAATATGCAGAAGGAGGCATCTTCACTTCTCCAAATTACCCCAACAAGTATCCTCCGGACAGAGAGTGTGTCTACATTATAGAAGGTAACCAAATGAGGAATCTTTGTATTTTATTATCAACTGTATTAAAAAAGGAGTTTTACTTTATTATATGTGAAGAATAGGTGAAGTTGTTGTAGATAAAGCTCATGATAAATCTTTTCAAGACACAGGATTTAGAGAAGCTCTTGATTTATATCTTGACATCTCTCATAAATTAGTTCAGGTTAGTACGCATGACTCAGTACTAAACACAGTACAATTTATTTCAGGATATCCAGAGAATGAATAGAACCTAAAATGCAGTCACATTACAGAAGAATATTATAAAATGAGTAGTAAAAGTGAGCATAGGAAACAAAAATGCTTTAGACATTCATTGAGATATTTTAAACTTATAATGGAATCAGGGATGACAAGCATAACTATGCAAAGTACACTAAAAGAATTCATACAGAAAATATCAAAATAGTTAGTACAAAAATTATTTTCCATCTAATGGTTCATGAGAAATGAAAATAAATGAAAATAAATGAAAATGAACCACCTCACAAAATAAACGCAGAGAAGAATAAACATTTACACCAAACAGCTCTAAGACACAGTTTTTAAAGAGTAATTTTTAATTACAGGCATGGAGATGATGTAAGAAAGGCTAAAATTGTATTACAAAAAAATTACAGCATTTCATCAGTCTTAACACAATGGATGTTGAAAGGATTGTTGTAAAACTTAATCTGTGGAAAGTAAGAGAGCTTATTATCAGAGAAGGTGGATCAGGTGCAGTATAGTAAGTTTCTGGAATCAAGAAAATTCTTTCATGAGTTTTGAATACATGTAGAATACAACAATGATGTTGCTCTATCCCTGATTAGTTTACAGAATCATTAATTCGTTAATGATGGAACCAGGAATCACTGAAGTAGTTATTTTACTAAAGATTCAGGTTGTATCAAGACAGATTTCCAAAGGTTAGAGCTGATTTAAATTGAATTAACTGTATTAGACCCACCTCCGCTATGCCCTTTTAGAAAGGTAAAAAATCACAGCAAAATGACCGAATTCCACTTTAGTGCTAGACAACTTGACTTGAGTCAGAAGTAAAGAGGTGATTATAAATAACGGAGCCAAACAAGGTCTTTAAAGAAAATTTACGTCTGTCAGTCTTCCCATAAAAGTATGAAACTTGAGCAGACCTTTGGTAAACATTTAAATTTTCTCATAGTTCAGTAATTATTTTAAAATATGAATAAATTTAATGAAAAAATATAAATTTGTAGATTGAATATGTACAACTTTTTGTTTGTTTGTTTGTTTGTTTGTTTGTTTTGTTACACTTCTGTTGCTAGATCCAGGACTTTCTGCATCTATTGATCAAATTATCTAACCTTCTTGGGGACTGGGAAGAACTAAGCTTGGTTTATCTTCAAAGATCTTAAATACAGGATGTTTTATCATTAAAGAGAAAGGGTGTAGAAAAAAAAGAACATTTTTGTAAATTTTTGTCCTGTATCTCAAGTGTAAGATGTTCCTCCTCATAGTAAGAAGGTGTCTGAACCCCTAATATTGTAAAGACTTTATCATAGTAATTGAGTACTTATTAAAATATAGGCAATAAGCTGAAAGGTGGCAAAATACACTCTTGAAATAACCCGATTTAAAATGGCTTAAAATTGAAATGTCTGTGAACAATTTATGAAGGCAAGATTTAGTCAACCAAGTTCTATAATGAAGACAAAATTCCACATTGACAGGTTTGGATTAATGTATAGGAAAAAGAGTAATTCAAACTTAACAGACGTCTTGTTGTTATATTTCATGGGAAAACTCAATCTGCTAAAAACAGTTGCACGTAATTTTTTATAGCTCAGATATTTTCATCTTCCCATCTAACCTGATGGACAATTTGGATTGCAACTGGACATTTTGGAACCCAAAATTAAAGCAGCTCTATTGATGCATAATTTGATGAGAACCATGGATATTGTGCAACATTTTCAGCTCTGATCGCCCCATGTCTATTTCTATTTTCTAAAAAAACCATGAATAGTCATGTCTGGAAAATGTCACAAAAATGTACAGAGATATAGTAAGATGTCTGAGCAATAATATTTTTAATGTGGCAAATTTCAAAAAAGGCAAAAGAAGCACTCAAAGTCAAGAAAGATTATTTTGTAATTACAATTAAATTACAAAAAATCATTATTTGTCCATACTCATTCTTTTTAATGTGTAGAAATGGCAGAGAATGATAAGAAGGCTATCAAGTATAAACTTTTCCCCATATCTTTTACATTCTATGGAACTCATTGGCATAAGATATTGAAGTTAAAAGATTACAAAAAATGATTAATTATTTTACTGATAGCAGTATCTTTGAGATCAGACAACAGTTTATGAAAATTGTGGATAATCCTGGCTAATGAAGGATGTAAGTGTTTTAGAGTAAGGCAGAAACATCTCTATATGCATTTTATTTTTATATTTAGTATTGAAATTCCAATATGCTTCAAATAGCTTCTGGGTGCTCTTGAATACCAAGTACTAAACTATAGGGATTGTCAATGTGATCTGTAATAGCATTGCCACATTGCCGTCTCCCCTTCATATGTCTTAGAAAGTTCAGCATACCAGGACTGTATATATACCATCATGAAAACTGTGTGATGTGATTATAAATGTATATATGGATCACTAGCTTCCTCCCCTTCATTTTTTGCTATCAAACGCACTCTAGGCCAAATTCTGATGGCTTCCTTCAAATGCAGTTCCTACTAACTTTAGTGGTCTTAAGTAAAGACTCCAACATGTAGTGTGTTATAGAAAAATTGAATTTCATCTCGTATTACAACTTTTTTCCTCCACATTGTAGCTCGTCTTAAATGTATGCAAGCCTTTTATCATGTCAGAATTACTTTGGTGAAGTAAAGGAGCTGGAAAAAGGAACCATGATCATAGACTGAATATCTGAAAAAAGAAGAAGATTTCTGACTTCTATCCTAGCAGTCAAAGATTAAACAAATTAAACAGCTAGAAGTTTCTTACATATTATTTCTTTTTCTCTCCCTTTTTTTTTTTTTTTTTAAACTTCTGTTTCAGTAGCAATGATAATTAGCTATTGGAGCAACTACTATTGGAGCAACTACTATTGGAGCAACTAGGAATTTTAAAGCCCAGGTTGAATGCCTTTCTAAGAGAAATCCTTTAGGTCATCTAGAAATCATGGACTCTGTACAAAAATTGTTATGCTATAGAAGAATGTCATGAATTAGTGCAGAGTAGCTGCAAACACTGCACCACCACAAGGAGCTTCTGATGAATCCCATCTGCCTTTCTAAACACAAAGGGAATTTGTTCTTTTTGTCTTTTTCTTTCAGTCTTATTTGGCATACCGAAGACATAGGAAATAGCTGAGTGTACACATTAAACTCCCTCTTCAGCCAAATTGCACCCTTATTTTGCATATTCATGGCTCTAACCTGGCAAAATTCACAGCTGCCCAGAGCAATTGCAGCAGTGACAGCATTAGCCTTTGCCAGACTGCAGAACATTTGGCATGTGTGCTACAAATGGAAATTTGCACAGGAGATTTTGTAGGAGCAAAGGCTTTTGCTTGTATTAAAAATATTTGGGGAGTGGTATAGTCATACTTTATACATTATAACTTGATAATTGTTTTGGAAATTTTGTAAGTGAAATACTTGTAAGATTTTATCAGTTCATTAGTTTTTAATAATTAAACATTTATTTATAAATAGAGGTATGGACCAGAATTTATTTACATACAGGTATGAAATAAATCTTCCATTTTACATGTTTGTGGACGTTTAGAGTTAGCGCTTTTGAAGGTCTTCCACGTTCTCACAAAAGACCATTAAACTCTTTAATCCTAGATATTTCACAGGTGTTAGAAAACAGTCACGTTATCACTGTACAAAAAACCTCTGCTCAAAGTCCTTTTGTATTTCACAGTGATTTTTGTGTTCAAAAAGTTTTCATCGAAACAAAAAAAGAATTCTTTTTTTAAAAGGAGGATATATGTGGTTTTCTTATCAATAATAGCAGGACAACCAGAAAGACTGAGGATTATTGAAAGCTATTAGTAGCAGCTCAGAGAGATGGGGGTAGGTGTTAAATTCAGTTTCTCATTTCCATGCGATGTAGCAAATTGAAACAGATTTTTCACTTAACTTCATCTGTCAGTTACACAGACTTAGAGGCTGATCAGAATTAAAACCTTAATTGTGTGGTTTTGCTGCAACTGTTCTACTGCAAGCTGGAATTGAGTACCACTTTTTTTTTCATTGGATGTAAAATCTCAAGATAGCACTTGTGTAAGATAATTAGGTGAAAAATATGACAAGACATGAAAGTATTAAGTCGTCTTTCCTTGGTATTAAATATTTTTGAAGAAATATAATTGGAAGCTAAGTATAGAAGATTTTTGAGATTTGAAATAAAATAATTTTATGAGACAGTTTCAATATATTTCATTTGGAGTTAACAACATCTTTTCCTGACATCATAGCCACAGAAAAAGTTCTGAAGCTGCAAATGGGCTTTACCTGTGAATAAGGATACCAGAAATGACCACTCCATCCAGCCTTTTCTGATTAGATGGCCCGATGCCAATCCAGTCTGGAAGAGTTGCATATTCCAGATTTTTTGTTCATTTTGTTTTTCTATAGGTACACACACATTATTATTAATCTTTATTCTGAACTTGTTCTCATTTTATTTCTATAAGTTTTACTGTGACCACATATGCCCAACTTTGTTGCAAAAGCTGTGGCACAGGATGTGTATTTATACAATATCTACTTGTTTTAGCTTGTGTTTGGTGAAGAAATCCTTAATTAAATCCAGATTATAAACCTGAAAGTACATCTTTATTTGCTAAAAAGAAGCTAAAGTTGAGAGTTTGTATTATGTGTTTTCATCACTTAGGGTCAATTCTAGGAAGACTTGTTTAATTTTGTATCTTCTATAGATTATTGCAAACAAAGCATTTAACCATTAACTAAATGTTAAGATGAAGCACAGAGGTGCATTCAAAAGCACGTGATGAAAAGGTGCATGGATGTGTGTATTGCATCCCACAGTTACACACAATTACATAAACATGAAGTGTTGCATTCCTCAGGAGAGTCAGGAGAAAGGAGCTTGTCCTGTTTGGATTAGCTTGCAGAGCAGGCTGTGCCGTGGGCAGTTACCTATACCAATGCTTAAAATAGGTTTGGAGGTGCTTACTGGGCTTAAGGCCCATAGGCACAATTGCACATGTACATTTCAACTCCTTTTACCTTCCAAGTTAAGACTACAGATACAAACTACTTGGAGTGAGTGATCCTTGACTGATGTGAGCCACCACATCATGCCTAGGAACGGGGTTTGGCAGTTCCAACTTTGCACAGCCAAAGTGATGCCAGAATGTGACTTTGACATTTAAGCAATGTGAACAGCCAGTGCTCCAGCCCCCAGATTCAATTCCCAGGCTTGTTTTATTTAGCAATGGAGAAGTGGTGCTAATGAATATTTAATGCTCCTTTCTTAGAGTGAAGTAGCCTCTACTGATGGGAGCTTTGGGGTAAACTGAAAACTCTTGAGCCCTCCTTGAACTGATGTGATTATCTCTGATCCTGTAGCAAGATCTGAGCTTCACTAGGAAAGCCCTTATCTTGACTTAGTTGAAAAATAAATAAAAGCAGAGAAGTGTAAACCATAGCAATATTCTGATTGTAAAACTAGTCTGCACTGTGAAATTCAGAGTAATACATAGAAGTTGTGGAAATTGTGCTTTTTCTCAGTTTGTGCATGACTAAGCTACAGCTTGGAAGGGGCCTCATGCCCATTTTTAATATACGTTGCTTGAATCTGAGATTCAGAGAAGACCTGCTATGGGTTTAACTATGGACCAGAACTTGTAACCCTCCTCTTGGTAAAAAATAAAGCAGTGAAAAAGAGAAAGTTTATAAAGGACAAGTATGTTGCAATTGAAGCAGAGATCTCTTCGAGGCTGTGGAAAGCAGAGCAACCATACACTGGCTATGATGCTGTCTGACACAGTTGTGGCAGAGTTAATCTTCATATCTAGTTTGTGATGTTGAAACATTGCAATAAAGCTTTAGGTGGGTTAATAAAATAGCATTGGAATAGAGTGTGTATGTAAGATTTTCAAGCCATATTGAGCATTCTTAAGATTACCTAAGGCATTGTAAGTATGGAGTTTCTGATGCCTAACTCTGCTGTCCTTAGGTGAATGATGAACAGTTCCCAACAAATCTCCTTAAATGGAATAAGAGCATGAAAAATATGATGCCAGATTGAAATGTACTGATTGCTCCCTTCTGCCTAGTATTACTTAGTTAAGTTTAAATCAATATTTGTTATATAAGTGTGAAGTCAAGGATAGAATCATCTGAATAACAATAATCAATGATATCTTCCAGGTATTCAGTTTTTTACTATAATCAGAAAAGATCTACTTTGGTCTTCAAACCTCACCAAGAATAAAATTAGTAGGATCTTCTTTACAAGCTTTAATGTCTAATTTTATTTTTATAAATTTTTTTCATACTTTCAAAGTAGTTTCTTTTACATGAACTATGAATTTGATGCGATTACATGAAAAGCTTTATCTGTTGCTTTGTTTTTTAATGTGCATGGGTAGAAAGATCACAAATTTCCTGTAAATTGGTATAAATAACAAGTTAATACTAAGTACTGCCCTAAACGTGATTTTCTTCAAATTGGGAACAGTAAAAAAGGTTTATTTCTTATGTTAAATGTAATGTTTCTGTAAATATCAATCACCTAATTATATTAACATTGTAAGCAAAGCTGTTAAAATAATCTTTCTTTTCAAACAATGTGTTTTATTACCTTCTTAAATGCTTCTTGTCAAATTACACTGTATTTATTTACATGAAATAGTTGTAAAAGGGTTCTGACTGTGTGCTTTTATGTAAAGATTTCAAGATCTACCTGATACCTTCTTATTCAGTTAATTTTAAATAGTCTCTCTTCTTATATCAGTAATGAGTTTATACCAAAAACATCAAATTCAAACATTTCAAAATCCAAACAAAATCTAAGTTCTGGTCACGTTAACAGTTTTGTACCAGTCTTGGGGAAAGAAACAGAGAGATACTGACCTGCTGGAGTGGCAGTTGTTTCCATGTTAATTTTATGCACCTTGCTTGGACTTTGATCTTGCATGTTTTTGTGTGAGAAGAATGGTAACTCAAGAAAAGCTCTTAGCAATTCCAACCTCTTCCAATATGTGTAAAGTGTAGGATATGATCCCACGAGAGGCATAGCAGGCAATGACACAACAAATCTTTGCCTTAGCAGAGGGCTTTGTCAGCAAAAAGCTCTAACACACCATGGTCTAGACAGTGAAGGCATACAGTTTTTGCTATGGAAGGATTAAGCATAGGAAACAGTGCACCTAGGGAGGTTGCATCTGTTAAAATTTATAGAACAAACAATGATACTTTTTTCTCCTTTTAAGAAAATACTGTAGTTCTACCAGTAAATTTTTGCTTTATGCAGGAGATACCAGGGAATATTTGTTTGATAGATCATTCTGCCTGTCACTAGGCTTAGTATCTAACAAAAACGATGGAACCTTTTCATGTCTAATTAAGTGACCACTATGAATTTCCTTCAAGGTTTTCAGTATATAATTTGCTCTTTAGTTATTATCCTTATCTACTTCTTTCTTAAGTGAGAGTTAAATCCATTTGTCCTTATGTTTTAAGTGAGATGATAAGGAATTCTGAGTATAAGCAATTACACTCCAGTTTGTCGTTGACTGTAATACATAGGGGAACATGATCTGCCCTTACTGTAGCACAATTATGATCAGCTTCTTCTTCATTATCGTTGTGAGCAATAGGTATAAAAAGGCATTTTGATGAACAACCCTCCCCCAAATATAAGAAAAAAGCCTTTTACCAAATCTGCAGGTTTCTTAAAAAGATTTTGTGTTTGAACCAATTGTTCCTAACTATATTTTGCTTTGTATCATAGATCTCTCTATTTTCTTTGCTAAGCACTACTGTCAAGAGCACTTTTTTTAAAGGAAAACAATTGGCAAGCAATTTGACAGTGTGAAATCTATAAAACATATAGACGTACTAATTTTCAAACAAGTTTTTATGCAAAATTTTAAGAGGCATACAAAATTGATATACTTGATTTCTTTAGTTTGCTTTAGTTTTGAAGGGCTTTGGGTTAGCAAATAATGCGATCATTTTCTTTTCATCTCTAGCTGCTCCTAGACAATGCATTGAACTACACTTTGATGAAAAATATTCCATAGAGCCTTCTTGGGAGTGTAAATTTGACCATATTGAAGTACGAGATGGACCTTTTGGCTTTTCCCCAATCATTGGACGTTTCTGTGGACAGCAAAATCCACCTATGATAAAATCCAGTGGCAGATTCCTGTGGATTAAATTTTTTGCTGATGCTGAACTAGAATCTATTGGGTTTTCTGCTCGGTATAACTTTACACCTGGTGAGTACACACCATCACACTTTTTAATAGAAATAGCTTAACATAGTAACTTTTCCACTGATGTATAATCATGTTGTTGAACAATATCTTTAACTGAGATTATTTTTATTATCAAGGAAAGTATTATTAGATAGGACACTGATAGAAGGCATATGTCTCTTCAACATAAAAAGTAAGACTTTTACAAGGAAGTAATTTTCAGACTGCAGTTTTTAAAAGTATTGTTTTCAATTGAATACTATTACAGAAAAGCATTCAAAATGTTAAGTGGGAAGTTCTGTGTTTTATACTTGATGGTTACACTGTACAACTTTTCTTTCAAAAAGATCATTGATAAAGTATTCTAATAAAAAGATGTGATTATGTCAGAAAATTCCACCATTGCTTTTCCACTTCACCAATCATTTCCCCAGCTGAGGAGTGGAATAGTTCTCCCTTCTCAATAAAGCAAACTATTACAAGTATTGCCAGAGGAAGTGCAAGATTCATATAGTAACATGTATTAAATATTTTTCTAAAAAGCCTGTAAATATTAATTGTAATTATACACTTCTCATCAATTTTTAAATTTAATTCATTAAAGTAAAACAAAATTCATATTCATACTTTCTATTAATTCCTTTCCTCTCCCGCTTACCAGCAAAAGATTGCTGATTTAAAATTTCTTTTTTGGCTGAAGCTACACTATACTGCACTGCACTGCACTGCTGGATTTGACATAGTTCTGTATCTTGTTATGTATTGAGTGATGAGTCATACTTTAATATAGCATGGTCTAAAGCACTGTAATTATTACGTAATTTTGTCAATTATGTCACTATTGTTTCAGCTAAATTGTTGTATTAGGTCAAACAATATTCTTTAGAATATCTCCTAAAATTAACAGACCTGAAATTCTTCTTCCTTAATTATTCCAGGGGCCTCATAGAAGATGGCAGGAGTGCTTGCTTTATGTGGCTCCTCTCTGTGGTTTTCCTTCACAAATGCAAGGAAAATAGTTATAGAATTAACCAGCATAGTTCAGTTTTCTTTCAAGTCAAGGATACTGTTTTGCAGAGGGTAAACATACTTGGAAGGTTCAAACAGCAACAGAACACAGAATTTCTGCAGCAAATAGCCTGAGAGCTAGATGTATGTATCTATTATTGTAAATTCAAAGACAATGGACAACATTTTGCATATTCACTCTGAAAAGTGAGTTAAACTTTCATCTCTCATTTGCCATGGACCTGTGGGCTTTTACCATTTCCCCACCCTGTGCCAAAAGTTCTTTGCTTTATATTTCTTGTCTTTCTTGTTTCAAAGAGTTATGCATTATGGTTGGAAAGATGTTCATAGCACTACCTGCAGCTTATTCTGTCTAAAAAACTCTCAGGGAAAAGACAATTTCATGGATCATATTTTATCCTTGTTCTTTTTCTACTGTTGTAAGGGGAATTTCTACACAGAGATCAATGCTGGTAATTGCCACAGCAGCATAAATTATTCTAGACTTCAAATGGAATAGCTATCTTTTTCCTTTCTTCTTCCCCCCCCCCCCCCCCGCCCCTTCCATATATTTCAATAGAAAGCTCTGAAAATAATAGCAGATTTCTAGGAATACTGGCCAAAATGAGAATATGATTAATTTGACAAATGCAAACCAGCACTGCTACCTTCTCGATCACTGGTAACAAGAAGCAGTTTGCATTCAACAGGATTACTCGAACAATCTTTTATTATGTAGGCATGGATAAGACATGACCTTTTGTGATCTATTGTCCAAATGTGTGCAGTGGGAAGGGTCTCTCTCAATTCATAAAAATGAGTGATGATTTTCAAGAGAGTATAAGAGTAGCATAAGGAGGACTCCACTACAGAAATTATCACTTAAACCACCTAGATCCATCTTAGGTAGTGAAAACTTATGAAATTAAACTATGAACAAAGAAGATAATTTTTGGCTAACCTCCCTTTAAAGAACAGGGAAATGATCCAAAGCAAAAACTCGTTTCAAAACTATTGCTGTCTAGAACCACGGAACGCTTAGGGGTGCTCACTTGTCAAAAGCAGGACACTGTGCCTAACTGCAATCTGCATAGAAGGCTTTCTTCATCCCAATGACAAGTGCAACAGAGCTATTTCTCTAGTACCAACAAACTTTGAGGGTCCCCACCCACCCATGAAGTTTTTTTCATCTGCCACTTTTGCATTCGACGTCTTGATGGAGGCTCTGGTTTGATGACAAAGAGATGTGACATTAAATGTGTGGGTGTGTGGCAAGATTTAAAAAAAAAAAACCCTAAGTAAATTTGACTAAATTGAAGCTGCAAGCATTTATTGTTATTTGAATGGTACCTGGAGAAACAGGGAAAGAAATTATTTACTGTGTCTCCAGGGTATATAAAAAACTGGATGAAGTTGAAAATAAGATCAATTAGGGTATCATGAAAAATGTTGCAATGAAGATCTATTAGTCTGTGCAAATTGAAACAGCCCTGGACCCAAGGCATTTTAAAACTAGTTTGGACTAAGTCTTTCAAAAAGAAATTATATAGAACAATCCTAAGGAATGGACTAATATTTTGCAATTACTAGAACTTTTCTGTTCAATAATTAATTTCTTTGACTCCTTGATATTGAAATGGTTGGAAATCCATCCACTGATGCAAAAGTCCAGTAGGACAGGAGGTTTAGGCATTTTGAAACTAATGCAACTCTCTTGTCATAAATTCTGCTCCATTTAAATAGACTTTTGTTCAGAGCTCTTTTCAGCAGTCTAAAAGGTGAGATCTAGCAGAACAAATAACTTTAATGACAAAATCAGACCTACACACAAACCCAGTACAAACACACCTAATAAGTGGTAAAACTATTGACAATTTTTCAGAATCAAAGTTCGTATTAAGAGAATAATTAAGCATTTAATTTTTGTGATTTTATAAAGTATAGGATTAAGCAAGGTGTGGATGAATGAAGCTGTATGTGTGGTTTAAGGATAGACTACTTTCAATGTCAAATTTTGAGTTAAGGGGAAAAGTAGTCATCTTCTTTTACATTATTACAGCTGAATACCAGTAAAAATGAGATGAAATATGGATGTAAATTGCATTTTCAACCATTTTTTGTACATGAGAATTTATAAGCAAATCAAAAGTTATTTTTATATACTATTTTAATTTTAGTTTTTATTTTTAAATTCTGATTAACTGTGATCATTTCAAAATAGAACTATCTGAACCTATGAAACATTTTGTTGGCGTTTTTTGTTCTCCTATCTGATGTATTAAAAAATACATATCAGACTACAATACGTTTTATTTACTCTGTTTAATTTTGAATTCAGATGTGATTGGCTAGAGAAAGACCCATGAGACAAGTGCAATGATAATTCACTCTTCCTCCTGGTCTGCCATTCTTCAGGCCGTTGAAAGGCCTACACCTGAAATTTCATTTCACAGATCTGGGTCCTTTGACTCAGTCTGTTACACTCATTTTTCAAAAAAGGTTATGTCTCAGGACTATTTTCCAAAATGATGTTGAATCACTGTTTAGTGTAGAAAAAATTCAAGTACTACCTCAAAGGGACTTACAGTGACAAGTGTTCTTTAAAATGAGTCAAATTTTTAGTGTAGACAAGGATTCAGACAGAGAGAGGCTATGTTTATTTGAGCTTTCTTACTCAGCTAGAATAATCAGATTTCTGTTTATCCTGGTCCTTGATTTTGCAGGACAGTGGCTTAAGATAGCACATCATTACTTTCAGTTCCTTTGCTTAGTAGAAGCCATCTGTGTTTTTATTTAACCTCATTGATATAAACGTCAGTCAGTAGTGCTTTCTGTTCAACTGCCTGATAATGGAAAAAGAAAAAATATTTATGCTCATATGTTCCAAAAAGTTGAGTATAAAACATTGTCTAATCAGAATAACAGTATTTTACATCCCTATTGCAGTGAATGTCAGAGTAATAGAATAATTGCATCATCTATCTTGAGGAAAAAAAAGAAGAAAAACTACTCAAATTCTTCCTGGTTGGGGAATTTGCACATTTTAGAACTCATGAAAAATTTAATGTGAATTTCTTAAAATGAATCACAGTTCTAAAGAACTTAGATAGGAGATTGTCAAATCATTTTGCCACCTAATGCCCATGTCCTTCCTTGAGTGTATTTAAGGAAGGGACAGTTTCCCAGGCATCTCTGACAACCAAATACTTGTGTAAACTTGCTTAGTTGTTTGTATTATTTGTTTATGTTCCTATTCTCTTCCAGACTTGGTCTGATTGCTTCTAAGTTAGTCAGCAGTGACAATCACTTTTAACCAACTTGCAGTCCAGTTAAGGTTTTTCAGAACCGGCAAATGGTGTGGCTTTGAATGTGACAATACCTTTTCCTTTGGGATCAGAGTTGGTTTGAAAGTAGGAGAAATTATAACTCTTTATTTAAACTTTTGAGCCAGAACCTCCTGATGTTACAAAAAACTTTAAAAGTGTGAATCTCCTTTATTGAGATAACTAGCCCTCAGCACTTCAAATTTTTATAAGCAGTGTGATTTATGAACTTTTAGTGTGTCCATACAAGTGTGCCTCATAAAAGTCAGGCCCCTCATTGATGCTCACAGGGAGCGAGGGCATCTGATCTTGTGAGTGAGAAGGAATTTCTCACGTGTAGGATCATGCATTACATTGACAATCATGATCAGTTACACGAATATTGTCTTTTCAAGGGAATTTGTTTTGTGCTGTCCTATAGATTTCATTATCTTACAAGAACTGTAGATTGAGGCCTAGAATATTCCAGTATCATAAATATGAAAATGTAATGTGATAATATGTTTATTTGAAATTTCAAGTGAAAAATAATTCCTTATGTGGAGGAAATGATTATCTAAGAGGTCTCATGGGATTCTCAAGTCCCAGATTACCTCTTGTTATCACATACTTATGTTTTTCTTTTGACAGTATCCAAAAGGCAACTACAGAATTTCCTGGTTTAGAAATCCCTGCATACTGGGAGATCAG